ATCAGGATCACCAAGGGTTTGTCCTGCTTTCTGTACAAGTATTGGTCCCTCAGAGAGACAAGGTGATTAAATAACTGTGAACATTACCAGATCTGTGGTGAGTGGCCATGGGCCAAAATCTCCTAAGAGAGCTCTAATTCCAGAGTTCCTGCAGTAACTTGATGGGAGGTGTGACTCTACTAATCTCGAAACCATGGAAATCGGGCTTAGTTTTGAGATTTCTATTCAATAAAATAGAAAAAAAAATTGATATAAGATTTAACTATAATAGCCTTAGTAAAAGTAGGAAATATGGAATCAATATTAATTTAGAAGAGGGTAAAATGAATGACTCACAAAGTTCTTGCCTTAGAATTTTCATTCTGTGTAGCCTGATAATACTGAGAATGTTTTTGAAAAGAAGCAAACAAACAAAACTCACACTGTCTGGTACATTCAAATAAAATTCTAGGGGCACTGACATGTTCAAAACACTCAGTATCATGTTCTTCGGGACTTCTGGTCCTGTGGATGTGGTTCACATAACCTGAAAGTCACCATATAAAATTCCACAAGTATCTTTGAAATACATATCTGAAGGTTGAAAGGAAGTAAGAGAATTCTCCTGGGCCAGAAACAAAGCTGAGACTGCAGTTGTCTTGGAGTGGAGCGGTAGAGTAATAACAAAGAGATAGAAAGGCCTGGGGCTTTGCAAGATGAGTATTGAACCTAAGACATCCTGTCAACATACAACCAGCGAAAGGGTGAACCAGAAAAAAAAAAAAATCTAGCTACTGGCATAGGGAGATGTTAGGGCAGCTTGTCTGCCTTAGACTGGACTCCAGGTAGAACAAAAAGTAGTTTCTGTGAAAATTTGAAATCTTAGGCTCTACCTCACATGGGTTTGAAGTTCTAATTTTACAACTCTCTTAGTCTGGAAACCTCTAAGCAAAGAAGTTAGGAAATGAGCAAAGCTGCCAAAAGGAGAGGAAGGAAGAGAGGGAAGGGGAGAGGAAGTGTGGGGAGGAAACGGAAGGGAAGGAGGAAAGGAAAAAGGAAAAAAGACTACATTCAATGTTTTGTTTTGTTTTTTTAAGTTTGGAGTAATACCAAATATTCGAAAATGAATAAAAGCTGAATTCAGCCTGCTAATTTTTGTTTTAGGAATTTTGTATTATCATCATAAGATCATTAATATGATGTGGTATCATGACCTAGTTGGGCTCATTTCAGGAATTTAAGGATAATCTATCACTAGAAATATATCAATGTGTAGTAAAAGAAAAAGAAACAGGAAAAATAAAAACAAAATTTAGAATAATGATAATGAGAAATTCATTTAGGGAAGGCTATACATGGGTGAGGGCTTCCAAAGGGTCTGTAATGTTTTATTTCTTAAGTAGTGGATACATGGGTGTTCGCTTAAGGTAAGTAATGGGTACGAGATATTCTTTTATCCCATTTTGTATATCTGAAATAGTTCATAGTAAAAAGCTAATCTCATGAATTAATATGATTCATCACATTCACAGTTTAAAAGAGAAAATTTATGTAATCTTATCACTAGTTTCAGAAAAAGTATTTGAGGACATTAAACATTCATTCATACCTTGAAAAGACCCATCAGACTATGAATATAAGTGAAATCTTTAAATTGATTAAGGATATTAACCTCAAATTACAGTAAACATCATTTTAAAGGTGAAATGTTAGAA